AACCAACCAACCAAACAAACAAATAAAAAACCCAAACAAGCCCCCCCAAAAAACCAAAAAAAACCCCAACAACAAAAAACAACCAACAAAAAACCCGCCAAAAAACAACAAAAAACCAAAAAACCCAAAAAACAAAAAAAACACCCCAACCAAACAACAACAAAAAAACCCCCAAACGACACCAAAAACAAACAAAGAAATAAAAAAACTAAACAAACCCCCCCAAAAAACAAAAAAAACCCAACAACAAAAAATCAACCAACAAAAAACCAACAAAAAACCCCCAAAAAACAACAACGACAAAAAACCAAAAAACCAAAAAAAAAAAACCCCAACCAAACAACAACCAAAAAACCCCAAAAAACCACCAAAACCAACCAACCAACCAAACAAATAAAAAACCCAAACAAGCCCCCCCAAAAAACCAAAAAAACCCCAACAACAAAAAACAACCAACAAAAAACCCGCCAAAAACAACAACAACAAACCAAAAAACCAAAAAAAACCCCCCAACCAAACAACCAAAAAACCCCAAAAAACACCAAAACCAAACATACAAAAAAACCCCCAAAAACCAAAAAAACCCCAAAAAACCAAACCCAAAACCAACAAAAAAACCCCAACAACAAAAAACCAACAAAAAACCAACAAAAACCCCCATAAAACAGCAACAACAAAAACCCCCAAAAAACAACAAAAAACCAAAAAAGCCCAAAAAACCAACAAAAAACCCCCAAAAAACAACAACAAAAACCCAAAAAAGCCCAAAAAACAAACAAAAAAACCCCCAAAAAACCAAAACCAAACCAAAACAAAAAAAACCCCAAAACCCCCAACAATAACAAAAAACCAAACCAAACAAAAAAAACCAAAAAACAAAAACAAAAACAAAAGAAAGCCAGGGATAAAAAATCTCCTGGGGAAAAAAAACCAAAATAAAATAAAATAAAATCCAGGATAAAACCCCTGGGGTGCTTCAGGCGCGGGTCCCTTCCAGCCTGGCCGGTGTCTCCTGGAAATTCCCTGCTGGATAAGGGCCCGGAGCATCCCTGACTGGCGCTGGGAAGGGCAGGGTTCTCCCCCCTCAGAGGGTGGGGTGGGACAGGGATGGAATTCCCAGAGAATTTCTCCATCCCTGGCACTGTCCCAGGCCAGGCTGGACAGGGCCCGGAGCCACCTGGGACAGGGGGAGGTGGCCCTGCCCATGGCAGGGGGCACGGGACGGGCTCTGAGGCCCCTCCCAAGCCCAACTATTCCAGAATTCCATGATTCTGGGATTTGCTTCCAGCTCTGGAACTCTGGCCACATCTGTTGGGTTTGGGCTTTGTTTTGCTTTTGGGTTTGTTTTTTTTTTTAACGGGAGATTTATTTAGATTAAGGAAAGATCCCTTGGATTCTGGCCCAAAAACGTAACTGAAAATATCTGGATTAAATAAGCTCCTAAACCCAGAATTGCTTCATTTCTGTTTCTCTGATGTCATCCCACACTGAAATCCCAAACATGGCCCAGCTTAAATCCAACCCCAGAATTCCCAGAGCAGGGAAATGCCTCAGGAGTTATTGACTCTGCACCTCTCCCACACTTCAAATCCATCTGTGGGCACGGAGACCTCTGAGCCTGCTGGAGGTCACCCCAAAAAGCCCAGGAATTGAATTAAAATAAAAAAAATTGAAAAACCCTGGTGAAAGCCAAGGCTCTGAGGAGAAGCTGGGGTCTTCCAAAGGCTGCCAAGACAAAGAGGCTCCTTCAGACCAGAAGGGTGAAAGCTGAGCCTGCTCAGGGCTAGAAACTCCATCATGAGGGTCAGAAACCAAACCCAAGGTCAGAGATGGACAGAAATTTATCAAAAGATCAGGAGTGGCTGGGACAGCTTGAGCATCCCAAGAACTCCAAAGTGGGACAGTGAGTCCTGAATCCAGGTGGAGGTGGATGATCCAAAAACTGACACTAACCTTAACCCTGACCCTAACCCTAACCCTAACCCTAACCCTGACCCTAACCCTAACCCTAACACTAACCCTAACCCTGACTCTAACCCAGAACCTAACCCTAACCCTAACCCTAACCCTAACCCTAACCCTAACCCAAGAACTCCAAAGTGGGACAGTGAGTCCTGAATCCAGGTGGAGGTGGATGATCCAAAAACTGACACTAACCCTAACACTAACCCTAACCCTAACCTTAACCCTGACCCTAACCCTAACCCTAACCCAAGAACTCCAAACTAGGACTGAGCCTCCTGTCATAGGTGGAGGTGGATGAACCAAAAACTGACACTAACCTTAACCCTGACCCTAAGCCTGAACCTAACCCCAACTCATGACCTTAACCCTAACCCTAAACCATGACTGTAACCCTAACCCGTAACCCTAACTCTAAACCATGACCTTAAACATAAACCTAACCCTAACCCTGACCCTAACTCTAACCCTAAACCTAATCCTAAACCATGACCTTAACCCTAACTCTAACCATAACTCTAACCCTAAACCATGACCTTAACTTAACCCTAATCCTAAACCATGACCTTAAACACTAACCCTAACCCTAACCCTAACCCTAACCCTTTTCCCTTTAGCTAACCGTGACCAGTTTGGTTTTTTAGGACATGAAGATTCCATCTGGAGCAGGGGAAAGGCTGGAGAGGGAAACATGGATGCACAGGAAACAGGGATCATCCTTGGAGCCACCATCCGCCTTATCCTGGACTTTGACTCCGCTTAAAAATGGAAATCAAAGAGGAAAACCACAAAAACTCCGTCTGTGGGGAAATATGCCATCCCCCTATAAGCTCATACTGGTTTTACTGGTTTTTCCAACTGCTCCTGGAATAAAACTCCTGAGTCTCTCCCACTATTTTGTGCCTGAGGTTCTCCAGCCTCTCTGGTTGGATCCAGGGGGGGTCACAGAAAATCTCTCTGATGTTCTTTCCAACACTGATTTTGGCTTTTTTGGGGAGGAAAAGCCTTTGGAAATCCAGCTTTGTGCACTGAGGAAGGGCTGGCTCCTTGGAAAAGGTGGAAATTTATTGGGAAAAGTGACTTTTTGGGAGTCTGGAAGCAGGGAATCCTCCCTGGGATCTGCCCAGGAACACAGCAGGGATGGAGCTGGAGGATCTGGTGCCATCCAACCCCACCCATTCCATGGCTCCGTGGTTTTCAGGGATTTCCAGCCCCACCATCCCATGGATTGGAGCATCTGGAGGATCTGGTCCCATCCAACCCAACCCATTCCATGGCTCCGTGGTTTTCTGAGATTTCCAGCCCCACCATCCCATTGGTTGGATTATCTGGATCTTCCAACTCAACCCAACCCAACCCAACCTAACCCAACCCAACCCAACCCATTCCATGCCTCCATGGTTTTCAGGGATTCCCAACCCCATCATCCCATGGGTTGGAGCATCTGGTCCAACCCAACCCAACCCAATCCAACCCAACCCAACCCATTCCATGGCTCCGTGGTTTTCAGGGATTTCCATCCCCACCATCCCATGGGTTGGAGCATCTGGAGGATCTGGTCCCATCCAACCCAACCCATTCCACGGCTCCATGGTTTTCTGGGATTTCCAGCCCCACCATCCCATTGGTTGGAGTATCTGGTCCAACCCAACCCAATCCAACCCAACCCAACCCAACCCACCCCAACCCAACCCAACCCAACCCATTCCATGGCTCCGTGGTTTTCCAGGATTTCCGGCCCCATCATCCCATGGGTAGGAGCTGAAGGATCTGGTCCTTTCCAACCCCACCCATTCCATGGCTCCATGGTTTTCAGGGATTCCCAACCCCATCATCCCATTGGTTGGAGGATCTGGTCCAACCCAGCCCAACCCAACCCAACCCAACCCAACTTATTCCATGGCTCTGTGGTTTTCTGGGATTTCCATCCCCACCATCCCATGGGATGGAGGATCTGGTCCTTCCCAACCCAACCCATTCCATGGCTCCATGGTTTTCCAGGATTTCCAGCCCCACCATCCCATGGGTTGGAAGATCTGGTCCTTTCCAACCCAACCCAACCATCCCATTGCTCTGTGGTTTTCAGGGATTTCCAGCCCCATCAACCCACGGATTGGAGGATCTGGAGGATCTGGTCCTTCCCAACCCAACCATTCCATGGCTCCATGGTTTTCTGGGATTTCCAGCTCCATCATCTCATGTGTTGGAGGATCTGGATCTTCCAGCCCAACCCAACCCAACCCAACCCATTCCATGGCTCTGTGGTTTTCTGGGATTCCCAACCCCACCATCCCATGGGTTGGAGCATCTGGAGGATCTGGTCCCATCCAACCCAACCCATTCCATGGCTCCATGGTTTTCTGGGATTTCCAGCTCCATCATCTCATGGGCTGGAGGATCTGGGTCTTCCAACCCAATCAAACCCAACCCAACCCAACCCAACCCAACCATTCCACGTCTCTGTGGTTTTCAGGGATTCCCAGCCCCATCAACCCACGGATTGGAGGATCTGGTCCTTCCCAACCCAATCATTCCACGTCTCTGTGGTTTTCAGGGATTCCCAGCCCCATCAACCCACGGATTGGAGGATCTGGATGATCTGGTCCCATCCAATCCAACCCAACCATTCCATGGCTCCGTGGTTTTCAGGGATTCCCAGCCCCGTCATCCTCTCAATCCCTCACATTAATTTTTGGCCACTGCTTTCCACCGAAATTGATAAAAATACATCAAAATCTCAGGGTCCTGAGAATTCCCTGGCCAAATCTTCATCCCTCTGCATTTCTCCTGCCTTTTTCTCTGCTCCTCACCCATCCGAGCTCTCCCAATGGGAATCACCTCTGGATCCATTTGAGCTTTGATTTCTATTTTCAACAACTCCACTCCTTTTATTTTTTGAACTCCTTCCGTATTCCAATAAAGACTCGGACTGCCCAATAAAGACTCGGACACCAAAACTCTTTAAATTTGACTTTTTTATTTCATTGCAGAAGAAAATCCAATGTAGGCCTCATTACATTATGCATCTTTAATTATAAAATTCCCGCTTGGAATGGCTGAATCAGGGCAGCAAAGAAAATATCCTTCATTTCTCTGGGAGTTTTTCTTGTCGTTCATTTCTGTGGGAGCTTTTGTTGTCCTTCATTTCTGTGGGAATTTTTTTTTTCCCTGCTTTTTTATTTTTCTCAGTTCCTGGGAGGCAGGAAGGGAAGTCTGGTCCCGAATTTCATTCCCAGCCCTTTGGAAGTGTTGGGGATCCCACTCCTCCTTCCCTCCCTCCCTCCCAAAGCTGGCAGGAAGGGTGAGGACTGGGAAAATCTGAATTGGTTTTCCCTTTGTGTCGTCACGAAAGTGCAAAAACCCCCGTGGACAAGAAAAGAACATCCAGTCAATCCTTTGGATCCTGGCCAAATCAAACTCCTGGGGTTTTTTCCAGGGGAAAATCAACCAGGATTTTAATGCTTCCCGAGCTCTCCGTCATCACCGAGCCCAGATTACCTTTTCCAGGACTCTTTTCTTCGTCACTGAGCTGAAATTTCCTTTTCCAGGACTTTTGTCTTGGTTATCAAACATAAGTTTCCTTTCCCAGGGCTTTTTTCTTTGTCACCGAGCCAAAATTTCCTTTTCCAGGATCTTTTTCTTCATTATCCAGTGTAAATGTCCTTTTCTAGCACAATTTTCTTCATCACTAAGCCAAAACTTCCTTTTCCAGGATGATTTTCCTTCCCGTTTGTCCACCACAGAACCCAGATTGATCTGATCCCTCTGCTCCTGCACTTTTTTTGGGAATTCAGCTCCCTCCATTACCAGCACTGACCTAAATGTGTCTATTTTATTCCCAAATCTTAAAAAGTCATCAAAATTCTGGAATATTGTCAAGGTTGGGAACTCCGGGTGGAAGTGTCCAAGGGAATTTCCAATGGTGCAAATAATGCCAATTATTATAATAATGATATATAAATATTAATTATAATCAGTTTATTTATTTTAATACTTATTTTAATAATCTTAATAATTTAATTAATTAATTTTATTGATAATGGTGCAATTATAATGATTATTCTAATGAAAAATGAAATTAATAATAATAATAACAATAGTAATGTAACACTAATAGTGCAGGGGGTGGCATGAGTTCAGCTTTAAGGTCCTTCCAATCCAAACTTTTCCATGATTTTAGGGCAAGAAATCCTTTAATAATCCTCTTTTATTCCCAATATTTATTCTTACACTCTCATGCGATGGGAAAATGATTTTTTAAACTTCGTAGCAGCTTTTGGAGCAGAGTTGGAATTAAGATCTCACTTTTCCTCTGCTGATTATTAAATGTATTTTGATCTTCCAGTGGAAATCTGAGATTTCCTGATTGGATAAAGTGCACGTGGAATTCCAGAATCCAGGTGTTTTATTTCCCTGCAGGGGAGTCACAGCTGCACTCATTAAAAAGTGTTTCTGCCTTAATAAGTTGGGTGAATAAAATGCAATTACCATGCCAGGCCATAAACAGCCAGAGGAGACAGCAGAGCTCTGATGCTCAATCAAAGGGAAAAAAAATTAAAATTATATTAAATGTATATTAAATGCATATTAAATGCATTTTATATTTATATTTATATTTATATTTATATTTATATTTATATTTATATTTATATTATAAATTTATTTTATAGAAATAAAATTTTTTACCCTGCTGCCATCAACAGCCCAATAAAGACTCGGACACCAAAACTCTTTAAATTTGACTTTTATTTCATTGCAGAAGAAAATCCAATGTAGGCCTCATTACATTATGCATCTTTAATTATAAAAATAAGCAAAGAAAATAACTTGCCTCTCTCTCCTCGCTATGATATGTTTCAAATAACCTTTATATGAACACACGGAGCTTTACAAATGTCATGGAAACAATAAATAAGGACATATACCAGATATGCTCACTGTTTATTCCAGTACTCAGCAAAAAAACCCCAAAACCCAAAACCCCCCCAAAATCCCCAAACTCTCTCCCTTTTCCCTTTTCTAGGTCTCTTTAAATTATAAATACAAATAATGCAAATTCCAAATGGCACAAAAACGTCTAAAGTGCAAACAAACACGAGACTCATGCAAACCTTCCCAGAGAAGCCCCTCCCCGCCCCGAGAGAAAAAAAATCCTTTTGTGAGACCAAAAAACCGAAGCAGGGATGAACTCCAGGGTGAAATTGCTGGACTTGGTCGTGGGGATCATTCCCCACCCTGAGGGATCTCTCACACCCAAATCCAAACCTTTCCCTCATTCCTGAGGGATGGGCAGAGCTCCCAAATCCCCTCAGCTGAGCAGGGAGAGCTGGGAGTGCCCAGCTCGGGATCCCAAACTCCTCCCTGCTCCAGCACAGGGACCAAAGTGACCCCAAAGCAGCTCAAAAATTGGGAATTGTGGGTTTTTTTGGGACAGGGATGGGACAGGGGGAGCTCCCTGGGGTATTCCAGGGATGACTCCCTGGGCCACCACAGCAAACCCCACCAGGGGCAATCATCTCCCTGCTCCTCTTCCCACCCACATTCAGGAGACAAAGTTGGAATCGCTGCTGGAAAGGGAAATTTCATTATGGCACCCCAAAACCAGATGGGACTGGGAGGCCCAAGGCTCCTCCCCCGCCCCAAATCTGCTTCAGGCACCTTCTTGGGGTTGCAGAGAAATGGGTGGGTGGAGAAGCCACTTTCCATATCCCTGCCCAGGTGTTCTTGGAAAACTCCTGGGAGCTTTGAGATCCCACAGTGGGAGCTCTGGAGCACTCCCAGGTGGGGCTGGACCACTGCCCCGAGGCAGAGAAAGACTTTTTGTGACCAATTCCCAAATAAAAGCACGGACTGGAGGCACAAACCCCAGCAGCATTCCCTGGCTCCCAACAGCCACGGGGTGGGAAGTCAGGGATGTGCTCCTGGGATCAATTCCTAAACATAATCCCAATTTGAGAGTCGGGATAGTCCAGATGCTTTTGGTTTTCACCTCTCAGCACTTCTTTGTGTGGCCTCTCAATCCCTGCCTGATTCAAGAAGGAGCAACTTTGCATCTTCCTTGCCCTGCATGGCTCTGTTCGGAGTATCCCAAAAAAATTACAAACTCCCACCCTCCACCAATGTCAGCAATATTTTTTTGCTGCTTCCAATTCTCTGCCAGCACTTCTACATTTCATGAAGACAGCGACATCTGAAACGCTGCCACTGCATCTGGTTTTGATATTTTAGCAGCACGTTCTGGTTTAAAGGCTTTGTGGTTTCCCAAACAACACAAAAAATAAAATAATATTGCTTCAGGTTTCCATAAAAAAAAGAGATCCCTCCTTTATCAGCTCTCCAACGCTCTGAGGCAGATTCTCCCATGCTGCAGGGACTCCAAGGCATGGATTTGGATTGGCCTGGTGGGTCCCACACCACAAAGGGCCTTTGGTGGATGTCAATCCACAAAGGGCATTGGGTTGATCCCAATCCACAAAGGGCATTGGGTGCACCCCACACCACAAAGGGCCTCTGGTGGGTCCCACACCACAAAGGGCATTTGATGGATCCCACACCACAAAGGGCATTTTTGGGCTCCCCAGGGCCTGGCTGTGCTGGGGAGCGGCTTTGAGGTCTCCAGCTCTGCTCCTCTTCCCAGAGCCCGCTGAGGAGGATGAGGAGGGCGGAGGAAAGGCAGCTCCCAGAGCATTCATTGTGTCCTCAGCTTTCCTGCTGGAGAATTGTGGATTTTCCCTGCCTTGCCCCAGAAATCCTGACGGGAATTTTGCCCTGTGAGATTCCCAAAGGATCTGACAGTTCCAGAATTCCCAGCAGCTCTGCCCTGGGTCTAAGTGCATTTCCTGGCAGCCCTGTTGGGGCAGGACTGACCAGCCTGAACTTGGGTTTTTAATGGATTTTGCCTCAATTTCAGCTCTGAAAGGCTGTTCCTGGTCCTGTGATTCCCATCCTAAACCTTTCCCCTCTTCCTTTCTTAAAAGGCCACAGAGTGGAATGTGAACTCCTGACTATGACAGAGGTGCTGCTTCCAGGAAAAAGAAAGCAATAACAATAATAATAATAATAATAATAATAATAATAATAATAATAATAATAAAGAGCTGACTTACAAAACTCAGTTTAGGCAATAAAGTTATTCTGTTCTGCTCCTTTGAAGCAGACTCTGGTGGAGTTTATGTACAGTACAGACAGATTTTAGCACTATTTATACCACAGTTAGAGCAAGGCCTTTAATACTCTAATCTTAAGACAGGCTTTGTTTCTGTTAGGCTTGGTTTAAAGCTTCAGGCAGTTAAATACAGTACAGAGATGTGAGCTTTGAAATACAATGCACGATTATGGGACCTCCTGACCAGCTGCAGCCACAACCTCTTTCCATGGTGGAACACGTCCCTCTCCTGCTTTTGGGTTTTGTGGGGTGGTTTGAGCTCATTTTGCACCGTGGTGCCAGGCCCTGGTGACTAAACCATGCAGAGAGTTTGGTAAATCCCAACTTAAACGTGTTCACAGCACTCTGCTGGAAGGATCAGGGCTGAGGGTGACACTACAGGACCAGGAACGTGACATCCATGCTCGTCCATGGCCAGCACAGATTCATGACATGAATCCCACGGATGTTTTTAGGATTTGTGAGAGTTTTTAGTGCATCTTTTGTCACCTGCAGGAGAGGAGCAGCTCCTCCCCTTGGTGCTGAACCTCCAGGCCTGGCTGGTGTCAGCACAACAGTCTGGGACAAAACTCAGCCTCCAAACGTTGGGAGTTTGGTGCCTGAAGGCCCAACTACTGTAGGGATCTACTAAAGACTAAGATTTTTTGGGATAACAGATTTTGTGTGGGGAAGAGAAGAGACAGAGCCGTCTGGCTGGCGGGAAAGCCGCGACACCGAACACAGACCCATGCAGAAGTGTTGTTGGAGAGGAACAGAGAAGATGAACTAACTAAACGAGCCCTAAACGAGGAACTAAACCCAGCTCCTGGGGGTTACAACACCTACAGTCCACTGGCTTTGGGTGCAGCACTCCTAGAGCAGAGCCCTCAGCTTTGGTCGTGCTGGGCCTGCCCGGCCCGGTCAGGCGTGCTCGGCGGAGCCGCGCTTGGCGTGGGCGGTTGTGGAGCCCTCACCTCGCAGGTTCCTGAGGAGCAGCTTCAGCTTCTGGGGCTCCGAGAGCCTCCTGCGCAGCAGCTCGGCGCGAGGGTGGCCCTGGGCGCAGTGGTCGCTCTGCAGCAGGTGGAACAGGCTGGCCATGTTGGGGCCCAGCTTCTCCATCAGGCTCTCCTTGATGGTGCTCACCGTGTCCTCGTCGCACTCCAGCAGGCTCCGAACCAGCTTGTTGTAATACCTGCAGCACAGGGACCTGGTTAGCCCACGGTGTGGCCCCTGCTAGGGCCCCAAGGAGAGCTGGGGCTTAAAGACAGTGAATGCCATGTCATGGTGAAAGAGCAAAGAAGCCCCTCACTTCCGCCTTTTGGACCCAGCTTATCTCTCTGTAACCCCAGAGGTGACTTTCCCTGAACTCCTGCAGTTGGACAATTCTGGATACCCCTATACCCTATAGAATGGGCTGGTTTAGCCTGGTTCTGTTGCTGGAACCCTTCACAGACCCCCCAATAAAGACATGGCTGTGGAACTCCTGCTGCTTCTCCTCTCTCGTGTCTCCTTCTCGGCCTGCATGGGCGCCTTAGCAAGCAAAGAGTTGAAATCATAAGAGAGCTGATAAATCACTAAAGAGCTGATATCCCTTAAGCTTGCTAAGGGTGCCTGTGGCTAAGAGCAGTCTGGGTACTCAGACACTCTGTCCCCAAAAGAGGATTGAGCTGTCTGGCCCGTGCTGCCTGCCTGGGGGTGAACCAGCCCAGCAAGAAATCAGGATATTGCCCAGCCAGGTGACAAAACTGCAGGAATCAGGGTTTTTAACTCAGCCAGAGCATGTTTGGAATTGATTTCTGATGGTGTTGTGGCAGAATTTTTAAGGTTGGGAAAGGATCATGGAGATCCATTTCCTATCACAGAAAACTCTCTTGTAGATGGAGATAATTTTTTTCCTTGTCTATCCAGAAAATGGCAAAATTGGGAAGGCAAAATTATAATGGGGGAAGTAAAGATGATACTTGTCTTTCCCCCAGGGAAATTTGGGTGGGGGGAAATTGGAACCTTTGAAAGAGGATTTCTGGAGGACTGGGAGAGGAGCAGGCAGCTCTGTGGAGGCCCAGGTCAAACTGATGGACTGGGCAGATCAGCAGCCCTCAGAGGGGGACATGGGGACACTTGGGCAGTGCTGGCCGTGCTCCTCTGAGAGGACCAAGCCCTGGAGCCTCTCCCGAGGCACAGGCAGCTCCTCCCCAGCCCAGCAGAGGATATTGTGACACGCTGAGGAACAAAAGCAGCAGGATTTCCCTGCCCTGAGGTGAGGCTGAGGGCTCCCAGAGCACCCACTCCACACCCTGGCTATGGAGGTGCTGTGCCCCTGGCACAGGGGAGGGACACCATGGCCAAAACTCTGATTGAATTGCCCTAAAGCAGCAGGGTCCCCAGCTCTGGGAGGTGAGGGGTGAGCACGGTGGGTTTGGAGTGGTCCTGGTGGATTGGTAAAAGGTAAAACAAGGAGCTGAGAGATTAGGAATGGGTTAAAGGGTGTGATTTACTCTCTGCTCAACACCCGAGTTCCTGGAGCTTTGGGAAGGAAAAGAATTGATGTTGGCAACAACAGATCCTGCTGGGATCCCAGCCTGGCCTGGCCTCTGCTCCGAGGCAGAGCCACGACTGATCCATCCCTGTGGCACCATTCCCTCTGTCCCTCCTGTCCCTTTCCCTGCACAGCCCTTACAAGGACCAGAAGGGGGAGAAGCAGCCCAGCCCAAGCCTGGCAGATCCCTGTGCTCCCTGGGGACAGATCCTCGGGACAATCTCTGCTCACTTCCAGCCCACCATGCACAGAACCCCAAGCGAGCCTTCCCCTGCCTCCAGCTGCACCTTCCCCTCCCAGCAGCCCTGGGCACAAATTCCTTGTCCAAGGAGCAGCCAGGTGTGGTGGCAGCTCCTGAGAGAAAGAGAGAAAGAGAAAGAGAAAGAGAAAGAGAGAAGCTAAATAAATTTTCCTAGAATCAGCCTGGTAAGCTTTGGGGAGCTGGAGATAAACAGTGATAGCCAATTATTAAAAACAACCTGCAGGTGTTGTTTCTCTAATATCCGTTTTCTTGTTATTCTCATGAGATTGTTTATAAATGGGTGTATAACAATCATAAGATTGTTATAAATGGTTTATAAATTGTTAATTAGCCAGTGGTGATGGTGTTTGAATTAAAGGACCAATCAGGTCCACCTGTGGTGAACTAGGGTATAAAAAGCAACGGGTTTCTCAATAAATGGAATTAACTTTCTGTGAATGCCTTGGGAGTCCAGGTCCCTTTTTACCCAGGCCTGACTCATTTTCTGACAGCCAGGAAGGGGTGCTGCTCTGCATCCCAGCCCTGCTGAGAGTTCCCCCAGGAATGCTCCCCCAGGAGCAGGGCTGGGAGAGCAGCTGGCACCTCCCTGTGCCAGGGAACATCTTCCCAGGGAGACAAAGTTGGGAAAAAGGGCAGCAGTCCCACACTGGCTGGGATTTCTGCCTGAAAGGAACTCATTTTAAGCCCTTTAAGGTCACGGTGACATTTTTCCACAGGAGCAGAGAGGAGAACAACCTGCAGGTGGAGGAGGGGAAGGAAGAGGGAAATGAGAGTTCCCATTCACAATCCTTTCCCAACCCTCAGCCCCGGCCTTTGGAGCAGCCAGGGGAGGTCAGGTGAGGTCAGAGCCTGAGCTGCACAAAAGGACCAGGCTCTGGCTCGCTCTGAGCCCGGCTCAGCAGGGCTGGGAGCGGCGTCTGAACTGGAGATGAGCAAAGCTGAGCCCGCCACAAGCCCGGCTTAAACCAGGGCCAGGCACAGAGCCCGTCCAGCCCCGTGCCTTCCACACTGGGACACCTTCCCAGAGCCTCAGAGCCGGGCTGTGAGCAGAGATTTCCCTCCCTGCTGCTCCTGCCCCAGATGGGATGGCAGGAGGATGCAATGACCTTTAACGACTTCCCCTGGGGCCGGGCCAAGTGGCACAACGTGATCCCGGGGCTGGGAAAGCAGGATGCTCCCGAGCCCTCAGCCTCACCTCGGGCAGGGAAATCCTGCGGCCTTTGTTCCTCAGCGTGTCACAATATCCTCTGCTGGGCTGGGGAGGAGCTGCCTGTGCCTCGGGAGAGGCTCCAGGGCTCTCAGAGGAGCACGGCCAGCACTGCCCAAGTGTCCCCATGTCCCCTTCCAAAGGAGGACATGGAAAGAAAAGGTTTTTTCTTTCTGCTGGTGTGCCCATCCATCAGTTTAACCTGGGCCTCCACAGAGCTGCCTGCTCCTCTCCCAGTCCTCCAGAAATCCTCTTTCAAAGGTTCCAATTTCCCCCCAAATTTGCTACACAAGTTTCATCTTTACTCCCCCCAGTATAATTTTGCCTTCCCAATTTTGCCATTTTCTGGATAGACAAGGAAAAAAATTATCTCCATCTACAAGAGAGATTTCTGTAATAGGAAATGGATCTCCATGATCCTTGTGGGTCTGTCCCTTCCAGCTCTGGATATTCTGGGATTCTCTGAATACATTTATGCTGGTTGATGCAACATAAAATGTATTAATCACCTGCACACCTGTCCTGGGACAGGTCTGGAGGTTTGGGATGCTCCTGGATCCAGCCAAGGCCACCCCAGAGGAGCTGAGGCCACGGCCAGCAGGACCCAGTGCTCTGTTTGCACTCCAGTTCTGGGGTTATTTACTCCAACTGCTCCAAAAGGTCCCTTTTATCCCAATCACAAGACTCAGCACTGATTGTTCTGGGATTGGGAGCAAGAAATCCCTGCCCTGCAGCGTGACTGCAGCAGCCCTGAAGCTCCCTGTGTCCCTTGTCCTTGAAGGATGGGGACAGGGCAGTGCTGCTCAGGAGAGGGTGCCAGGTGTGACATTGTCATCCCTGCAGGGACAGGGGACAGGGCAGTGCTGCCCAGGGGAAGGTGCCAGGCAGCAGTGTGACATTCCCACAGGGACAGGGGACAGGGCAGTGCTGCCCAGGGGAGGGTGCCAGGCAGCAGTGTGACATTCCCACAGGGACAGGGGACAGCCCCAAAGCAGAGCAGTGAGAGCCCCAGGCTGTCCCCAGGTCTGACAATGCCACTGCCCCCATGAAAAGATATTCTCCCTAGTGTCTGCTGTGAGATGTGACCAGAAACGGAGCAAAGCAGGAGCTCTGACCTCTTCAACCTACCAGAACCAAGAGAAAGTTCCCCTGGGAGTTCTCTGCTTTTAACCCCTCTGTTCTCAGAGGCCCATCCATGTCCTCAGTGGCCACAGCAGGTGCCAATATTCAAATCTCAGCACTGATTGGTTTGACCACAAACTCCAAAATAAACTCACTTCCTTTTCAAACCAGGACAGCAGAGATGAGGAACAGGGGGTTGGCACAGGGGGGTTATACAGGATCAGGGGTGCTGGCTCCTTGTGGTGTCACATTTTAGTTAAATGGTGTGTGCTCTGTCTCAGCCCTCAAAAATGTGGGCTTTATCCCAAGCCTGATTCTCCCCTGGAATATCATGGATCTGTAATCCCACTGCCCCAAGGCTTACTCTGCACCCACTTTGAATCTCCCTGTTAAACTCTGGGGGGAGACCACAGAGGCTCTCTTGGCACTTATTTCTCTTGATCTTTTCTTTCTAACAAAAAAAGGGTGAATTGTGGTGTCACATGTTAGTTAAATGGTGTGCCCTGTCTCACCCCTCATTATTCCAAGCCCATGATCCTCCCCTGAAGAATCATGGATCTGAAATCCCACTGGCCCAAGGCTTATTCTGTGCCCACTTTGAATCTCCCTGTTACGCTCTGTGAGGGAGACCAGGGATTGCTCTTGGCCCTTTTCTCCCTGGGCTCTCCCTCTCTCCCTCTTTCCCCCTTCTCCCTCACAAACCATGCTGCTCCCGTGGGTGGGACCCCCAATAATTAGCACCCCCAATAATTAGCACCCCCAATAATTAGCACCCTCATCTAATTAGCACCCCCAGAAGCCGTGTGGAGTCTCCTTGCCTGCCTGCTGCTACCAGTGAACGCTCAGCTTAGGGGACTCCCCAGGGACCACAAATGAGCAGCAACAGCTCCATTCGTTTTCCCTGGATTTGGTTGCAGTGTGGTGACCTGGAGGACAAGGATTCTGAAGGACAAGGATTCTGGAGGACAAGGATTCTGAAGGACAAGGATTCTGGAGGACAAGGATTCTGGAGGACAAGGATTCATTTCCCAGTGCCAAATGAGCTCCAGGAAGGGGATGGCTCTGAACACGTTTAAGTTGGGATTTACCAAACTCGCTGCATGGTTTGGTCACCAGGAGCTGGCACCACGGTGCAAAAGGAGCTCAAACCACCCCACAAAAGCCAAAAGCAGGAGAGGGATGTGTGCTAGCATGGAAAGAGGTTGTGGCTGGAGCTGCTGAGGAGGTCCCATAGTCAGGAGAAGGGAATGATGGCAATGGATGGAGAAGGCCAGGCTGGGACAGGGGAAGGTGTCCCTGTGCTTGGAGGGGTGGGATGAGATGGGGTTTATGGTCCCTTCCCACCCAAACCATTCCATGATTCCCTGAGCAACTCAATGTGCCAGACATGCCAAATTAATCAACCTGGTTGGGATCATTGACCATTACAGTGCACCCAAACAAAATAAAATTAACATTGGAGTGAGGGACATCTGGATAATTTTATGATTCTCCTCTGGAAATGCCTTTAAATGGATTTCCCAAAAGGAGAAATAAATGTGTCTGCCCAGAAAGGGAAATATGTATATTTCCCAAAATGAACAACAAATTTATTTTCCCAAAAGGGAAATAAAGGAATTTTCCCAAAAGGGGAAATAAATGTATTTCCCAAAAAGGAAAATAAATGAATTTTCCCAAAAGGGGAAATAAATGTATTTCCCAAAAAGGAAAATAAAGGCATTTTCCCAAAAGGGGAAATAAATGTCTTTTCCCTGAAAGGGAAATGCGTGTATTTCCCAAAATGAAAAACAAGTGTGTTTTTCCACAAAGGAAAACAAAGGAATTTTCCCTGAAAGGGAAATAAATATATTTCCCAAAATGAACAACAAGTACGTTTTCCCAAAAAGGAAAAGAAATCTATTTTCCCCAAAAGGGGAAATGTATTTTCCCCAAAAGGGGAATGTATTTTCCCCAAAAGGGGAAATGTATTTTCCCCAAAAGGGAAATGTATTTTCCCCAAGAGGGGAATATGTTTTCCCCAAAAGGGGAAATGTATTTTCTCCAAAAGGGGAAATGTATTTTCTCCAAAAGGGGAATGTATTTTCCCCAAAAGGGGAATGTATTTTCCCCAAAAGGGGAAATGTATTTTCCCCAGAAGGGGAAATGTATTTTCCCCAGAAGGGGAAATACATTTATTTCCCCAAAAGGGGAATGTATTTTCCCCAGAAGGGGAATGTATTTATTTCCCCAAAAGGGGAATGTATTTTCCCCAAAAGGGAAATGTATTTTCTCCAAAAGGGAAATGTATTTTCCCCAAAAGGGGAAATGTATTTTCTCCAAAAGGGGAATGTATTTTCCCCAAAAGGGGAATGTATTTTCCCCAGAAGGGAAATGTATTTTCCCCAGAAGGGGAATGTATTTTCCCCAGAAGGGGAATGTATTTTCCCCAGAAGGGGAATGTATTTTCTCCAAAAGGGGAAATGTATTTTCCCCAGAAGGGGAATGTATTTATTTCCCCAGAAGGGGAATGTATTTTCCCCAGAAGGGAAATGCATTTCTTTCCCCAGCAGAGCAGGGAGAATGCTGCTGAGGCTGGGCAGGCTCTGCAGGGGCAGGGAGCGTTCCTGGGCTGAGATGTCCCAGGGCCTGCACAGGTTCATCCCCATCCCCTGTGGTTGCTGCCCCACATTTCCCCTCCGTATCCCGGGAGTTCCCCGTTCCGTACCGGTTGGAGAAGTGGTTTGGGAGCTGCACCACCTCGGTGATGGCCTCGGGGTTGCGGCGGGCGATGCCGCACAGGTCCAGCTTGCTGTAGCACTCCTCCTGCACCTCCGAGATCATCCTCTGGAACGTGGAGCACCTGCGGATGGCCAGGAACACCTTGGATGTCACCCCGTTGGCGATGCACTTCAGGCTCTCCTTCACAAACGCTTTTCCCTGCCAACGGAAGGAAAACCAACCTCAGCTGAATGCCAGGGAATCTGATAAAAACGAGAGCAGGCTCCCGGTGCCAAAGTGATTCCAGCTTTTATTAAAAGAAAAAAGAAAGGCCTAAAGCAAGGGGGCCTGTGGGAGTGGGAATGGGAATGTAGAAGGGGAAGGGGAAAGGGAATGGGAATGGGAATGGGGACGGGGATGGGAATGGAAATGAGAAGGGGAATTGGAATGAGGATGGGGCTGGGAATGGGGCAGGGAATGGGGATGGGAATGGGGATGGGAATGAGAAGGGGAATGGGAATGAGGATGGGGCAGGGAATGGGAACGGGGCAGGGAATGGGAATGGGGATGGGAATGGAAATGAGAAGGGGAATTGGAATGAGGATGGGGCTGGGAATGGGGCAGGGAATGGGAATGGGGATGGGAATGAGGATGGGGCAGGGAATGGGAATGGGGCAGGGAATGGGAATGGGGATGGGACAGAGACAGGAGCGTTCCCTCGAGGACGCTGCAGCGCCGGCGCTGGGGCTCTCAGCAGCGATGGCCCCGATGACCCCAGCACAAATTCAGTGGGTCAGGAGCCCCTTTTTATCCTGTTTTTTGTCCCTCTGGATTGGTTTCTGTTTGGATCCTTCATTTGCATGAAGGTTTTAGGCCTTGATTGGCCATTGCAGTTCTGTCCAGGCTGGCTCGTGGTGCGTTTTACTGAGGTGTGTTATGGTACCTTGAGTACCGGATTTCTTACAACTCCCCTTTTAACCCCTTTTACAATAGAATAACCAAACACCACGTGCTTAACGATCTATCAACTGTTTTACAACAGTTTCTAACCTGTTTTTAACAGAATCCAAAGGAAGGAGAAGTGTTATGGATACTCCACCAGGCCTGGCTGTGCTAATTACCCTCCTGCAATTACAGACAGGCTGGGAATGGGATTTGAATGCTCCCCATTACTGCAGAGCTGTCACTCTCAGCAATTTGTATGCTCTGAACTCCCATTCCCAAAGGATTTAGGCAGTGGGAATCTTCAGCCTGGAAGTGCCAGGACCAGAGATGGAGCAGCTCTGCCCCACAGATCAACATCAATTTAATGCCAGCAGTTTAACACTCCTGGTTCAGACCTCAAGAGCCTTTAGGATCTTTTAAACCTGTCCTTGGGAGCAGGAGCACGGGGAAAAAGGGGCTGTGTGAATTTTGGGAGGAAAGCACAGAGGCAAAAGGATTTTGGCAGAGCCCAGCCCTCCAATATTGCCCCGTTTATTCTCCCTGCAGCCCCAGTCTGGCCGTGCATTCCCAGACCCAAACCCTTCCAAGTCAAAGCCCAGCCCTGTGCCAGGTCACACCGTCAGGAGATTTATTTTGTTAGAAGAACATTTCTACTTCCTCCTGGAGAGGAAACCTTGCTCTCCACCCCGCGGCACCCTCCGTGCCAAGTCCTCACCCGGAGCAGGGAGCGGGTGGAAAAAGAGCCCTGGAGGACGCGCTTGGAGCCAGGAATGGGGCTGAGAGCAGCAGCGGGAAGGGCTGCAGGGAGGGGAGGGTTAATCCTGCCCAAAGCACGGCTTAAATGAAGGCAGGCACTGAGCGGAGCGCTCTGCACGTGCGTTAGAACCCGCAGGGCTTGTCCGGGCCATGAAAAGGCGGCTCCCATTGATTCTCGGCCGGGTTTTATTTTCGGCCGGGTTTTATTATTCTCGGCCGGGTTTTTGATTCCCGTGGTGCCCGGGCCGTACCTGAGTGTCGAATTTAGCAGCGCTGTAGAGGAAGGATTTGCAGATGTCGTACATCCCGTCCGTGTCGCACGTGGAGTTCTCCAGGCAGGCGAAGGCTCCGCAGCCCACCTGGAGGGCGCTGTTCAGGCACCGAACCACCTCGGCTGTGGGACAGAGAGGCACAGGAACATCAGCGCACGGAGAGTGAGCCCTGCCCGCGGCCAGATCCTGCTCCGGCACCGCAGCCAGGCTCAGAGCCTGTCTGAGACCCCGAAATCTGCCTGGGACAAGAGATGGAGCAGCTGGAGAAGAGGAGGCTCCTCCTGGAGAAGAGAAGGCTCCAGGGAGACCTCAGAGCCCCTCCTGGTGCAGAAAAGCAGATTATAAAAAAGTGAGAGAAAGAGAAGGACCTCAGCCCTCAGAGCCCCTCCTGGTGCAGAAAAGCAGATTATTAATAAGGGAAAGGAAGAGAAGGACCTCAGCCCTCAGAGCCCCTCCTGGTGCAGAAAAGCAGATTATTGATAAGGGAGAGGAAGAGAAGGACCTCAGCCCTCAGAGCCCCTCCTGGTGCAGAAAAGCAGATTATTGATAAGGGAGAGAAAGAGAAGGACCTCAGCCCTCAGAGCCCCTCCTGGTGCAGAAAAGCAGATTATTAAAAAGGGAGAGAAAGAGAAGGACCTCAGACCTCAGAGCCCCTCCTGGTGCAGAAAAGCAGATTATTAATAAGGGAGAGAGCGACTTTTGATGCGCACAGTGCTAGAACGGCTGGGATTGGTCTTAAGCTAAAAGAGGAGAGATTTAGGTCAGATATTAGGGAGAAAATCCTTCCTTGGAGGGCAGTGAGGCCCTGGGACAGGGTGCCCAGAGAGGCTGTGGATTCCCCACCCCTGAGGTGTTCCAGAGCCTGGGATAGTGGAATGTGTCCCTGCCCATGGCTGGGCATGGAATGAGCTTTAAGGTCCCTTTCCAACCCAAACCATTCCAGGATTCCATAATTCTATTATTCCAGGATTCTACAATTCCAGGATTCTGTAATTCCAGAATTCTACAATTCCAGAATCTACAATTCCATGATTCTGTAATTCCAGGATTCTACAATTCCAGGATTCTACAATTCCAGGATTCTGTAATTCCAGAATCCTACAATTCCATGATTCTGTAATTCCAGGATTCTACAATTCCAGGATTCTACAATTCCAGGATTCTCTAAAGACACGACCAGCGCCCCAAAGAGCAGAAATTCCAGCTACCAAAGACCTCGAGGGTCACACATGGATTAAAAGAGGCAGCACCTCACAGTCCTTGCTTAGATGGGGACCCAAATGTCCATCCCAACCTCATTTTCTCTTCAGGCATTTACATCTTTATCCCAAGTCCCTCTAAAGAAGGAGCAGGGATGAGGATGGGCCCATGGAAAGCTCTGGGTGCTGAGGTCTCTTCCTTGGGGAGCAGCCTTGGCTCACAAAACCATTGGAAAATGAGATGGAAGCGTTGGCAAATGCCAACAAGTTGGCAGGAAACTGCACTTATTGGGAGGCATTTGTGCTTTTCTACAATGCCTGAATTCCCTAGAAAGAAGGTTTGAGCTTGAGAGTCAATTCTCAGCACCCAAAAGGACTCGATCCAGCAGCCTGGGGCTAAAACTGCCCTGGGAGCTCGCGGGCGTAGCCAGAAAAGGTGAGATTGGGGAGGGGAAGGGGAATTTGGGCAGAGAAAGTTCAGGTAGCGCCGCTCGGGGATGATTAAAGCCCGGAGGCAGCGGCGCGGCTGAGCACGAGGGTGTCCGTGTCATCCCGGCTTTCTCAGAGCGCATCCAGTGCATTTTAACAATGAATCAGCAGAATTGCCACATGATTGCCCTGAAATTAGCCGGGATTAACCTTTCTGGGCGAGCCGAACATCTGTCCCCTCCCAACGAACGGGCAAGGCACGTTCGCTGCAGCTCATATTACCAGACATTCTCGGGGAAGAAATGCGAGGCCAGGGTCCCCCATCCAGCCCCGAGGTGTGCGCAAAGGGAGCCTTTACTGCGAGAGAACGCACCTTATTAAACCTGAGTTGCATCCTGAAGAGAATTCTTTATAACCGGGATTTTCCCGAAAAAAAAAAAAAAAAGAAATAATATTTAAAAAATTTAAAAAATCCCCCCAATTAACTCCTGGTCGTTCCGCGCTCCTGCTGACGTGCCTGAAGGGAGGAATATTTGGTAATTCATCCCCTCCCCGGTTCATAACCTCCCTCAGCACGAGCCAGCCCCATAATTAGCTTTCCACAGGTTCCAATTAGAACTTCGCTCGCAGCAGAGTCCGGGTGCGCGGAGCTCTGATTGTCTCAGGCACGGTGCGAGAGGGAGACCCCACGTTCCTATAGCAACCAAATACAAAAGCAAATGGAGCAAACACCCCGCTCCAACGCCGCAGAGCCTTGCGGAGCTAAAATAAGGCAGCTGCTAATGAGCCCCGAATTGGAGCGTTAATATCTTTGCAGTACAGTAGAGGCGGATTTTTAATTCCCATTGTTCCAGACAATGTCTCCAAGTTATCTAAGCGGCAAAGTCCTCACATCCAGGGCTCGCTCGCCAAAGCAAAATTATTTTTTTTTTTTCTCCATTGTGGAAGCAAGTTTGGAAAATGTCACCGATGTATTTTTACAGCGGCAGCTGCCCGATAGCGATCGGTTTGTGACACTTTCTGGGTTATGCATTCCTCCAAGGCTGCCCCTCTTTGAACAGAGATGTTCCAGAACAATGGGGCAGTCCCAGCGCCGCGGATCGCATCAACTTCCTAAAAAGCGAAGGTTTAACAGCGGAGCAGCGCTGCACCGGGGGAACGAGAGGGACGCATGCAAGCAGGAAAAGAAAAATGATAAAAAGTGCACGGAACTCCTGGGGGAGCTGCGGGAGGAGGGCAGAGCCCGGATCGCATCCTCGCAGCGCTCCCTGCCCGGCTCCTCCAGGAGATCCCTGCACCAGCAGCTCCTCCAGCCCTGGAAGGAACATTTGTGCTGCCAGCCGCTGAGTTTGTAAGGGGAAAGAAAAAGGGGGGAAATGAAGAAGAAGAAGAAAAATCAGCAGCAGAGAAATCGGAGACAGTCGAGGGCAGCGGGGCTGCGGCCCCGAGCCCGGCTCGCCGGCGTTACCTGAGTTCTGCGCTGCCACCCGCGCTTTCCTGGGGCTCACAGAGTCATTCTGCTCAGCTTCGTAGGATGCGGATGCACTGATCAGCAGCAGCAGGAGAAAACCAGACTTTAGGAGCATTCTTTGACAAGTTTCCGCTAAGTGTGGGGTTGGGTTGGTTTTTTTTCTTTTCTTTTTTTTTTTTCTTTCTTTTTCTTTTTTTTTTTTTTTTTTTTTTTTTTTGTTGGTTTTTTTTTTTTTTTTTTTTGGATGTGTGCGCCTCTCCTCTTCCACTCCGGCTTGAGCAAAGATGTGGAGCTGGATACGCGCTCGCAGGAGGGAGGGAAGGAAGGAGGGAGGGAGGGAGGATCCTGGCGAGGCCGGGGATGAGCGCAGGGATGTGCGGAGGATCCGGGTGGCCCCTCTGGCTGCTGCTCGCTGGGGGACCGGGAGCTGCGAGCGTTTTATAGCCGCCCTTATCGGTCCCCCCCGGGCTGCGGAGCCAATCGGTGGCGCTGGGCAGAGCCAGGGGAGGACTGGACTCATTCAAGCCCCGCAAAACTGCAACTTCACAGGAAGAATATTTTCCAGCCCATTAAAAGTACCTGCCAAAGAACAATGAGCGAAAAGTTCATCCTCGGAGGAGCGGTGGGAAAGGGAGGGGATTGGGGGGGGGACGCTTCCTATGGATCGCGGAGCTCGAGGAAATGACAGCGCCGTCCTAAAGCGCCCCCACCCCAGCAGAAAATCACCTGCCCTGGAGGAAAAGCTGCTCCCATCCGCCCGAGAGCTGCTCCCATCCCCGGGGCTCGGGAGCGGGGAAGGGGCGGCTCGGAGGGGCCGGGACGGGGCTGGGGACGGGGCTGGCAGGGATCCCTCGCCCCTGCCCCGGCTCTCACCTTTCCCTGCCGCTGCCTCCCTCCCGCCCCAGCACGTGCGGGCCCCGGGACTCAGCCCTGCGCTCCTCACGTAGGCAAATGCAAATCACCCCTGCCTGCCCCGCGCCTCGCCAAACCCTCCTGGGCTCCCCTCACCTGCGCCATTCCCCCGAAAATCACCCACTCCACCCTTTGCTCGCGCCCCAAACCCCAAGTTTTAGGTGTTTCGTGGCTTTCCTCGCCCCCCTCCCTCTCCCTGCTCCAAACTCAATCCTGTTTTTCAGATTTCATAACGGGAGGAGGCACCCTAATGCCTGATTCAATCTCGGCTCTAATGGGCACGTAATGAGGATTAACACGCTGCAGGATTGATTATCCCCCATCCCAGAGACAATTTAAAGCTCCGGGTGTTGCAGGGATGAAAGTGCAGCAGGGCTCTTAAGCTTTAGAGCTGCGAGGAAATCGGGAAAGGTGAGTGCAGAAAGATTTCCAGATCAAAAGTTACAAGTTCCTGCAGCTTAGAATAAACCCAAGGATTTCGAGATCAGCCCTGGCTGATCTGAGCTGAGATTATTTGGATCAGGAGCACGTTTGGGGCTCCCTCTGCCACCCCCAGGATCTTTGCTGGGGAGGGTAAGGACTCAGCTCTGTGGTGCCGGGCAAGGAAATCCAGCTTGGATAGATCCATGGATCCATCCAGGCACAGAATTCCCATTTGATGAACCAGTTCCACAAATCCCATTCAAATGGAGGTGCAAACCTCCCCATTTTGGGGCATTTAGTCGAGTTTATGGCAGCTGAATTTAAAATAAGGAAGAACTTAAAGAGAAGCAGGAGGAGGCTCTTTCCATGGGGCTCCAGAAGCTGTGCCTGGCGCTTTACCCCTTTCCTGCCTTTTTCGTCCCTGGGAAAATGGGATTCCTCTGGATCCTGCCCATCCCTGTCTCCCCTCTCTCCAGGAAGGCGCTGCCAGCCCAGCTCGGGCAGCGCTGCCCCATCCCCGGTGCCGTCGGCTCCCTTTGGAACGGGAACAGGAGCGGGGCTGTGCTGCTGCCCGGGGCTCACAGGAACAGCTGTGCCAGATGTTCCGAGCGCTCGCCAAAAGCCCTGAAACGGGAGGGTTTCGGGTTTCGGCTCCGGTTTGGGACACCGAGCCAAATTCATTAAATAAAGAAAAAAAAAATCAAGAAAAAGAAGCAGCAGCCCCACAAAGCGTTGTGGTTTCTCCACTTCAGAGCCCCGGTCCAGTTTGGAAGCGAGAATAATCCCAGAGGGTTTGATCCTGATTAAATCAAAAGTAACTCTGGCAGCCACTTCAATGGGGGCTGACTCACGGCTCCAGAGCCTTCCTCTCCTCTCCTCTCCTCTCCTCTCCTCTCCTCTCCTCTCCTCTCCTCTCCTCTCCTCTCCTCTCCTCTCCTCTCCTCTCCTCTCCTCTCCTCTCCTCTCCTCTCCTCTCCTCTCCTCTCCTCTCCTCTCCTCTCCTCTCCTCTCCTCTCCTCTCCTCTCCTCTCCTCTCCTCTCCTCTCCTCTCCTCTCCTGTTTGAACATTCCCACTTGGGTTTTTTGGGTTTTTTGGCTTTTTGAGGCTGCAGACCCAGCCAGGTTGGCCTGGCCCTCCCCAGGAGCCCATCCACACCCAGGGGAGCCCAAGTGTGGGGAGGAATTGAGCCAAGAGGACCCTGAGATTATCCCAGCACATTTTCTGTTCTTTCTCCTACGATTTTCCCAGGGATTTGCTCCTTTAGGGCCATATTTGATATTTGTACCTGCTGCCTGTTTTCATGACCAGCAGCAGGAACAGGAGGTGAGTGAGGCCCAGTTTGGTTCATGGGCATGGTGACCCCGTGAGTGGTGCTGGATCAGGACACAAATATTAAAACACCAGGGAAACTCTGAGGAGGCTCCAAAAGGACCCCATGGAGGCAGAACTTGGATTATTTTGCTCTAAAAGAGTGGGGGGATGATTTCAGGAGTGGGGGACCCGCTCTGAGCCACTGTCAAATTTGGCAGGGGACTCGTACAAGCAAATTTCTGCCCAAGACCTTGGAGTCCTGTGCTACCAAAGCACATTTGCATTTTTTTCTTTTGCATATTGAAAGCAGCAAGGGCTCAAAATTCCCTGGAAACTTCGACTCTGCCCTCGCTGTGGGATTTCCAGGAGTTTGGTGGCAGAGGAGCTTGGCTTCAATCTTGTCCCAGGTTTTGAAGGGAAAAAAGGAACAGCCAGAGATGGAACCACTGCCCCAAAAGCAGTGTCTGGCTCATTCAAGGGCCATGCCTTTCAAAACTGTTGTTAGAAGGTTTAGGGATACAAGAACACCCATTATGGGATAAGGTTTTCCCTACAAACCTTCCTTCCTCCCTGTCTCAGGTGACAGCTGCTTTGCAGCCTAGAGAGCTCATTAAAAAAAACCAAAAACCAAAAGAAAAAGTTTCCCTATTTATTCCTGAGAGCTTGGCACAACCTGCTGGAAGCTTTTCCCCGTGGCTTCCCTTGGAGGTGAAACGCTGGAGGGTTTCTTTTCCTGGCTGGTGCGTGGAAAGAGAAAAAAGAAAGGCACTGTTAGCCCTGGGAGGATCCCCCCCTTCTTTCCAGTCCCATTCACAGCCCCTATTAAATTGCACAGCCCGGCCTTTTGTGCCACTGTTCCTCTATTCCCAAGGTGTTAAGATTTTTATCCAACCTCCCTCAAAAAAATCGAGGGGGACAAGAAAAGAAACGAAGAAAAAGAGAAAGGGGGACCTAAAGTCAGCGACCCCCCCTCCTCCCCCGGCCTTTCTGCTCAGCTGCTCCCGGCTGGGAACGGCTGCGAGGGCGGCCCCCGCTTCCCTCCCATTGTGTAACTGGATCCTTCCCACCTTTATCCCCCCTTTCCCAGCCGGGACCCCCGCGCTCCGGAGGGACGTGAGCAACTGCACCGCCCCGGCAGCGAGGGCACGGCCCGGCCCGGCACGGCACGGTACGGCACGGCCCGGCACGGCATGGCATGGCCCGGTATGGCATGGCCTGGCACGGCACGGCACGGCATGGCCCGGTATGGCACGGCCCGGCATGGCATGGCACAGCATGGCCCGGCCCGGCATGGCCTGGCATGGCACAGCACGGCCCGGCATGGCATGGCCCGGCACGGCCCGGTATGGCACGGCCTGGCACGGCATGGCATGGCCCGGTATGGCATGGCCTGGCCCGGCACGGCACGGCATGGCCCGGCACAGCATGGTCTGGCACAGCACGGCACGGCCCAGCATGGCACAGCACGGCATGGCATGGCCCGGCCCGTCCTGCCTGCGGAGCGCCCTGCGTGGCTGCTGCCTGTGGCCAGCGCTCCCTGATCCTTCCTGATCCTTCCCAGCAAACCAGCATTCCCTGATCCTTCCCAAAAACCAGCACTCCCTGATCCTTCCCTGATTCTTCCCAACAAACCAGCATTCCCTGATCCTTCCCTTCCCAACAGGCAGCCTTCCCTGATCCTTCCCAAAAACCAGCACTCCCTGATCCTTCCCTTCCCTTCCCTTCCCTTCCCTTCCCTTCCCTTCCCTTCCCTTCCCTTCCCTTCCCTTCCCTTCCCTTCCCTTCCCTTCCCTTCCCTTCCCTTCCCTTCCCTTCCCTTCCCTTCCCTTCCCTTCCCTATACCCAGTGTTCCCTGATCCCGATCCTGCCCAGCAATCCATATTTCCCTGACCCTTCCCATGGAAGCAGCGTTACCCTCCCCTCCCTTTCCCCGGTGCCCGCTCTCTCCCATCGCTCCCAGCTCCCCTCGGGGTCCCCCCGCCCTTCCCAAGGCCCCGAGGGGCGGCTGGGGACAGCGCGGGGATCCCGAGGGGCTGTCCCGGTGCTTTGGCCGGGAAGATGATCCCGTTCCAGCCCCTTTGCACCAGCCCGGGCTGCTCCGAGTCCCCTCCAGGCTTCCAGGGACGGGGAATCCACAACTCCTCCGTGTCCAGCAGGGTGAGGCGATTCCTGCTCGCTGGGATTTGAAGGTGCTCCCAAGCCCACGGGAAGCACTCCAGGATTTCCAGGGATCAAACCTGGTTGTGTGGAGGCCCTGGCCCGCGGCCAGCCGCCCTCGCAGCCCGCCGGACCAGCTCCCCAGCAGGTGCACATTAAGCCCGACCACAGAATTCCATCCCCTCCTCCCTCCCGCCATGGCTCCGGCGCGTCCCCGCACGCTGCCGGGATGCGATTCCCCATCCCGGGGCTGGGAGCCGGCAGCAGCTGCAATTACCCGGCAGGAGAACAGCAAAGTAAGGGAGAGGCCGAGCAGAACCTTTTAATTTGCTTAGCCCAGGTGAACAACCCCGGCTGCACCGGGGC